GTAAGGCTAGCTAGAGTTCCGAAGAATGAGCTTCTAGAACATTCCTCAGAACCACATGCTCCTCACACTCCCGATGGCCCCCAGCTCTTGGGTTTCTCCCTTTTGTCCCTGAGGTGGGCACACTTGCCCCTGCTGGGCTGGTGGGAGGAGGGAGCAGGCGGGAGGAAGGCGGGGGGTTCTGCCTCTTGGCCGAATCCACCTGCCATATGCCACAAAACCAGTCCCATTGGTCTATAGAATGACAATGTGGGTGAGATGGAGTCTTGGCATGACCTATAGACGCTTCTGGAACAACACGATCAGAAGTGCTGCCTGCCTTTGCGGGTCCTCTTGGCCGCGGCCCCTCCAGCCCGTCTTGCAGTTTTTGTAAGACAGATGCCGGAGAGACATATGGTTCTCATAGATTTTTCCGTCTAGACGAACCTTTATTTAGTCACTTTGGGTCTGAATTGCTCTAGTTAACGTTTCTGTAGAAGCCTGTATAAAAATTTTAAACGTGGGCATTCCATTAAGGTGTAAAACAAAAAAAGCTCGATTTCTTATTGGCACAAGATGAAAGGGGTTCGGCTGAAAACTTCCTCCAGGTGAAGTCATTCCGGCTCTCGTGGATGCCTGCACGTCCACCCCGCGCCCACAAACTGTCCAAAGTGGCAAGATTTAGCCCCCAAACCCCGTGGCTGTTAAATTCATAGGCTTGGCACTGTTTCCCCAAAGTGAATTCTTTGTGTTCCAGTTGAGGTGTGCTTGCGTATTTGTATGTGTGTTGTGCATGTGATTATGTATGTGATCGGTGTGTGTGTGTGTGTGAGAGAGAGAGAGAGAGAGAGAGGGGTATGTTTCTTCTGCATACCACATGGCCCAAGGTGTGCCAGCTACTTGTCCTGAACCCTCTCTTGCAGGCAGCATTTTCCTTATTTTAAAGACGTTCATGAAGATCCCCCCAAAGCCATCTAGGGCTTTTTGCCCATGGTTTCAGCCCTCCCCTCTGGCCCCATAGTACGATTTATTTTTATTTTTATTTATTTTATTGAATCGCCATGAGATAAGAGCATTACAAAGCTGTTCACGGTTGCTTTTCAGTCCTACAGTGTTCCAACACCTGTCCCTCCACCAGGGCACATTTCCCAGCACCAGAGTCTCCAGGTGCCCTCCCATCACCCCACAACTCCCACCCACCCCAGCCTGCCTCTATGGCTGGCACCTCTCTCTCTCTGTCTCTCTCTCTCTCTCTCTTCCAACCCCCATCTTAGGCATTGTCACTGTCACTGTCCTCCCGTTGTTCATCAGTTTGCTCAAGCGGGCCCAGTAATGTCTCCATTGGAGACTTTGTTGTTACTGTGTTTGGCATATCGAATACATCACGGGTAGCTTGCCAGGCTCTGCCGTGCGGGCGAGATACTCTCGGTAGCTTGCCAGGCTCTCCGAGAGGGGCGGAGGAATCGAACTTGGGTTGGCCATGTTGACTGCGTGCAAGGCAAACGCCCTACCGCTGTGCTATCACTCTAGCCCATTTTAGGCATTATGGTTTGCAAGACAGATGCTGAAAGATTATCATGATGTAGATCCCTTCACCTGCTTTCAACACTCAGTTCTTGTCCAGCGTGACCATTTCCAACAAGTATTGTCATACTGGACCCTTCTCTATCTTAATACCCTCCACCCTCCACACCCTTGTGGTAATTCCCAACCATTGACCAGTCCTCCTGGCCCGCTCATCTTCCCAGGACCTGGATATTAGCTTCATACTGTTTTAAAAAAAATTTTTTCTATCCCACAAATAAATGCACTCATTGTATATCTGTCCTCTCCTTCTGACTCATTTCACTCAGCATGATATGTGGTACCGTTTTTTTTTTTTTGGTTTTTTTTGTTTTTGTTTTTGTTTTTGGGTCACACCCGGCAATGCACAAGGGTTCCTCCTGGCTCTGCACTCAGAAATGACTCCTGGCACTACTCAGGAGACCCTATGGGATGCCAGGGATCGAACCCAGGTGGGCTGAGTATAAGGCGAACGCCCTACCCGCTGTGCTATCGCTCCAACCCCGTGATACCATTTTAAAATGCAGTTCCCGGGCTAGTGCAAAGACTCCTTTTGAGAGAACATTGCCTGTAGCCAGGTGGAAGTGTCTCTCACGAGGAACGGAGGGCTTGGGGACCGCCCTGTCCTCACCAAGGTCAGCACTTGGCTCCATGCACACCCAGTAGCTCTGAGTCACTCTTGGTTCACGGACAGTCCAGTCACAGAGCTGGGGCCTCCCTGGTTGCTGGAACCTTCTGCGGCTTTCCAGGGCACACTCCGGAGTTCATCCTGCTGGGCTGTGCACTGTAGCACTGTCCTCCCGTTGTTCATCGATTCGCTCGAGTGGGCCCCAGTAACGTCTCCATGGTGAGATTTGTTGTGACTGTGTTTGGCATCTCGAATATGCCATGGGAAGCTTGCCAGGCTCTGCCGTGCGGGCGGGATACTCTCGGTTGCTTGCCGGGCTCTCCGAGTTAGAACTTGGACCCAGACGCGCCGCGTCTACCGTTGTGAAGAGCAAGGTGTCACGTGGTTTCTTCGACAGACAGTATTTTCTTTTCTCCCCACCTGTTGATTGTTGCTTTTCCCTGGAAGGCCAGCCTGCCCCCCCCACCCCCCACTTGCCCTGATTTCCAGAACCTTCCACCCTGAGGCGAAAACTTCAAGTCCCTGATTCCCAGAGGCGTGATTCCGTTCCGGGTGACAGGCCGTCTCTCCTCACCATGGCCAGGAAGTTGTGGGCAGGGACTGCCTTGTCACCCCCAGCTCTGAGAGTGTCCCCACCTCAGTGCCCCTGAGAACACAGGGTGAGCTTACCTGGAGCCAAGTTCAGAGTCACCTCCAAAGTTAGCAAGGTTTTTTGTTTGTTTGTTTGTTTTTTGCTTTGGGGACCACACCCAGCGATGCTCTGGGGTTACTTCTGGCTCCGCACTCAGGAATTAAATTACTCCTGTGCTTGGGGGACCCTATGGGATGCTGGGGGTCGAACCCGGGTCGGCCGCATGCAAGGCAATGCTCAGGGGTTCCTCCTGGCTCTGCACTCCGGGATCATTCCCGGAGGTGCTCAGAGGAGACCCTGCGGGATGCCGGGGATCGAACCCAGGTCGGCCGCGTGCAAAGGAAACGCCCTCCCCGCTGTGCTATCGCTCTGGCCCTAGGTCAGCAGGCCGTTGCAAACTTTCCTCAGTAGATGTGATCAGGACATTCTTTCCACAAGCCGTAAATGGGGCAGAGTCAGACAGACACATCATCCTCCCTCGAGCGGCCTCCGCGGCAGCCGCAGGAAGGGGGGCTGGGTACTGTCCCCGCAGAGCGAGCGCCAAGCCAGATGTTCCAACCAGGGCGGCAAGAGCGGGGCCAGGCGAGCTTGTGCGCTCCTGTTTATCTCCGAGACGAATTGGTCTGGGATATTATACGTTTGGATCGTCACAACGGTGCTGTTTTCCGCCCGTGTTCTCCGCTCACATTCCGTGCTTATGAAATACGCTCATACTTTCCCAGTGACATCCAGGCTAAAACCACGGGTCCTCTTGCACCGGGGAACGGCTGGCTTTGACTCAGCCTCCGGTGCAGTGACAAAGCACAGGCCTCTCGTGCACGAGGCCCTGGGGAAGTTCAGAGCATGTGGCGGTGGATGCCGTGGTGTGAGCCCAGAATCCGCCCCTGGTGAGTTCCCACTCAGACAGATGTGAATCTGGGGCCGGAGCCACAGCACAGCAGGGAGGGCGCTGGTCTTGCACAGGGCCCACCCGGGTTTGGTCCCTGGCATCCCAAAGGGTTCCCCTAAGCACCACTAGAAATGATTCCTGAGTGCAGAGGCAGGAGGAACCCCTGAGCATTGCCGGGTGCGTGACCCCAAAAAGAGTCAAAAGAAGAAGAAAAAGAAGTAGGGGCTGGAGTGATAGTACAGCAGGGAGGGCATTTGCCTTGCGTGCAGCTGAGCCCAGTTCGATTCCCAGCATCCCTTAGGGTCCCCTGAGCACCGCCAGGAGTGATTCCTGAGTGTAGAGCCAGGAGTAACCCCTGAGCATCACTGGATGTGACTCCCCCCCCCAAAAAAAGATATATATATACATATGAATAGATGTGAATCTGCCTTGGTGGGAAGTTTCTGACCTCACTGGGATGTGTTGCCTTCCTGGCCTCTTGTCCACTGGCCTGAGGCCCCATGCTCCTCTAAGCAGGCCGGACTTCTGTATCCAGGTACCTTTGGGGCCTGCATTTTCTTGTTTGCCATGTCATGTGAGACCCTCTCGCCTCGCCATGCCACACGCCAAGTACAGAATGTGGGTCCCTGCCCTGGAGATTCCCTCTGGGGACACTGTGGTCACTTAGGAAGTGAGGGCATGCTTACCAGGTGATCTCCTGAGCTGAGGTGGGAGTGGCGTTGGGGAGGACCCAGGGAGGGGGTCTGAGCCATTAAAGAAAGGGCCCACTACCCTGGCACTACACAGATGACTGTAAAGCTGTCCCGTCTGCCCGTCTGCATAGAGCACCCTAAGTTACCCATTGCTGAATCCTGGGGGGGGCGGTGTTTGTTTGTTTTATTGTGGTTTTTTTTTCTGCTTTTTGGGTCCCACCTGGCGATGCATGGGGTTCCTCCTGGCTCATGCACTTAGGAATTACTTCTGGCGATGCTCAGGGGACCCTATGGATGCTGGGAATCGCACCCGGGTTGACTGAGTGCAAGGCGAACGCCCTACCCGCTGTGCTATCGCTCCAGCCACCAATCCTGGAAGGGTTTTTCTCCTCCAGGTTCAGGCTGGAGAAAGGTGTCTCTGGGAAGAAGACCCCCTTTCCAGTCTAAGGGCTGGGGGAACTAGAGGTGGTGTCCCACTGAGGACATGGCTGGAACTGCCACCCTCCCGTTGCCTGTTCACTGCATGAGCATGGGTGCACCCGGGATGCCTTCTGCGGGGCTGTCTGCAGTTACCTCTTCACCTGTCTCTCTCTCTTTCTCTCTCTCTCTCTCTCTTTCTAGCCGGAGGCCACCCCCATCACCAACTCGCCCCACTATAACCCGCCCGCTAGAGTCCTCCCTGTTAGACTAAGCGAAGCGGCTGGCTTGGCCAAACTAATTACTAACGAATCCCGCAAAGGTGACCTGTTTGATAACCGTGGCCGTGAAGCCGTGAGTAGTCCCCTGCGTGGACCTCAGTTAGCAAGTAACCAGTCTCACTAACATGCCCCCTCACGCCGCGGCTCGGGCTGGGCCCCTGGAAACGGTCGGGTCCCCCGAGGTGCCCGGCAACCCACGTTTTGGGGACCATCGGTCCACCCTTGGCTTCTGTTCGAATCCACGTCAGACACACTTCCCAGGTGACCAGAAAGGGGGCCCCTGTTCCAAGCGAGGTGAGCTGCAGTGGTGAACCTCACTGTCCCACCCGCCCCAGCTGCCGTGGACACGGTCCCTTAGCCCTGTCCCTCCCTCCGCCAGAGCCGCCTTCTCCGAGTCACAAACTGTCGGAAGTGGTTGCCCATTCCGATTGGGACTCCCTAACAAACAAACAGGAAGGAAAGCGTTTTTCCAGAGGCCCAAGGCGACGCTTGTTCCGGGCAGCTGCAGAGCAAGAAGCGTGCTCAAGAACGGGTGGAAAAGTCGGCTCGGTCGCCCAGTCAGGTTTGGCGACTGTCTCAGTCAGGCCTGGCTGTTGACACGGCTCAAGGCAGACACAGTATCTGACATCTCAGAAGCGGCGCCAGTGTCCCTTTCTTGTTCCCCGAAACAGTCGCCTCCTTGTGGGTCCCCCGTGATTGATGGCTGACTTAAGCAATATCTCACATTTTTTTTTCCATTCTGACCCAGGTTTCGGTCGAGCTAACTATACTTGGACACACCCTTCAGCTTATGTATTTATTTATTTATTTATTTATTTATTTGATGGGAGCGCAAGGCATATTCCCTCTTGCCTCGCTAATATGGAATCCCTTGGTGGGAGACTGTATCGGTCGAAAGTCATTTTCTCTCCTAGCAAACCCCATGCCTCACGCTGGGTCCCCCCCTTCACAACTGGATTTGGCATCGAAGGGAAAGTCGTGCCCTAAGTTTGCCCAACTTCGCTTTCTCTCGGCGGCTCCTTCCTGAAAAACTGTAGGAAGATATTCAGACCTAAAGCAAATTGATCACTTCTTAGCTTTCCAAAACAGCCAGGAGCAGTGGAGTCCAGGGGGGGTTAATAGTTCAGCCCGGAGGCTAAGTTCGGGACTACCTCCGACTGGGGGTTGACTAGAATGCAAGAAACAGCCGGAAGCCAACTGGAATTTTGTCTGCTAACTCTTCCCAGACGCAACCCCAGGATGCAGGGCCCCTCGGCACTATTTCATAGTCTGCAGAAGTAAATCAGGTTTCACCCACCGAAATGTCTCCCTTTGAAAGCAGCAAACGTGATTTGTATGTTAACTTCACTTTAATTTCCTGTGTAGCTTATACCCAGCGCAGACCCCCATAAAGCACGAAGTAAAAAAAGCGTTTCACGATTATTAAAACGGGACCTTGCCAAGGCGAATGGCATTGCCGTGAACTTACTCTAAAGGGCTACTTGCTCACCCCGCTTACAATAAGTAAAAATCAGCGTGTATAACATTTACCCAAAGAATGTTGCAGGGTTTAAGTTGGACATGAACCCCAAGTCTTTTCATAGCTTCTCTTTTCCTCGTGGGGTGGGGGTGGGGGAGGAGGCTCCTTGACAATGGAGTCGATGTGCAAGATATGAACTGCATTTTAGAGAGTCACCAGTCCGTGGAAGTGGGTTCAGTAAACATCCATAATAAAATCAGTGACCACCAGTAAGATCTCATCAATTTGCCGGTAAGGGTCCCTCACCCTGCTCTCTCTGAGTTCTCTCAAATAGGCTGCTAACAGATCTTTGCGGACACAGTTTGGCTTTGTGCTCGAGGTGGTTTTGCATTTTGCTGCATTTCAAAAATTTCCTTCTGTTAAAGGAAAATATTGTGGATAACCACGGGCGTGTTCTTAGATCAGCAGAAACCATGTCAAAGAAAATGAGAGATTTTTTTTTTCCTCCTTCCTCAAGTTTCTTTCCACTGAACTGTTGAGGCAGGCCTGGGTAACTGCATTCATCACCTCCCATTCCTGCTCACTCCTGGGCACCCCGGGGTTTCTCTGTCCCTCTCGTCTCCTTTGCGAGGCGGCTTCTTGTTTCATTTTCCCGGCGAGTTATTTCTAAGAGAACCGAGCCTCCCCCTGGAACTGTGGCAGCTCTTGGGAGTCGATTCGGCAGCTCCTCTTACCCTACCTGAGTCAAATCAATCCGTTTCCAAGGGGCTTTGGGTCTCCGAGGAGATGGGGGCTGGATGAAGTGGAAGGTCTTTGAGTGCGCGGTGCGCACGCAGCATCGGTATCAGGACCAGAGGTGGGGGTGTTGCTGAACGGGCGTTTTCTGTGTCCCCCATCCCCCTTCTCCTCAGGATTTGTGGCTCTCCTTCACTCACCGTGCAGTAGATACAGCGCCATCCATCGCGGGATCTGGGAAAATAAACCAGGCAAACGGCTCTGCCTGGCTCTGTTAACTCTTGCATGCTTACTAACTCATGGGAATAACCAATTTAGTCACTAATTGACACCGCTGTCTTCTTGAGCTAGTGTCGGTTTAGGGCAGCTCTGTCGCGCTTCCAGAAGTCGCTCCCGAGATCACACTTCTGAGTCTTGCTTTCAGCCGCGTTCTGTGACCCGAGCACACTGCCTCCTGACCCAGATGCGAAAATCACCATTTTCCAAACAGGACAATGAAAGTAGTTCCTCTCCAGTACCTAGAAATATTCTCAACCTAGCGTTTAAAAGTAGTCATAGAGATTAATTTTGTGAAGTTTTTTTTCCCTGTACGCCATAGCCATAATTCTCAAATATGAAATGGGACCTAATACCAGTATGTGATAAATGTTGCTGTTTTCTGCGTGCAACGGAGATTTTCTATGCATGTGTCTTTCTGTATGCTGTAACCACGTAGTGAGCTCATTTCTGTAAATATACGTATTTTGTGCCCCTTTCGGTGGGTAGACTTAAAGGCAGTTGTTTAAAAACGCCACAAGCATGAATGTGATTGTCTGTTACTGTACATACGTACGTCTAGGTACGGATGTTAATACGGGTGTGTACATGTGCTTTGTCTCTGTATGTTCAAATTTGTTTGTCAAACTTCTAATGTAAGAGGTCACTTTGGAAGCTCTGCTGTATCACGTGAAAACTACAGTGGCTTGTTGCAGAGAACAGACACAAAGTCTGTGGAGGTTTCTCCGAACTGTATTCATTCTTAAGAGGCCCAGAGGTCAGAATTACCCTGGTGGCTTGAAGCAGTAACATCTTTCAGCCATTGGTACTTAAATCCACAGCACTGCTAGCTAAGAAGTTCCCACCGATGGTTCCACAGGTGGTTAAGGAGATTTGAGCTGGGGCTGGAGCAATAGCACAGCGGGGAGGGCGTTTGCCTTGCACGCGGCCAACCCGGGTTCGATTCCCAGCATCCCATATGGTCCTCTGAGCACCGCCAGGGGTGGTTCCTGAGTACAGAGCCAGGAGTAACCCCTGTGCATCGCCAGGTGTGACCCAAAAAGCAAAAAAAAAAAAAGAAGAAGAAGAAGTATTTGAACTGGTGGCCTAACTTTTAAGATACCAATTGGGATTATAAATTATTTGGGGATTGCTCTGTTAGACCCCCAAAATCCTAACTTGGTCTATCTAGTCCCACTTTTTCTGTATCGTAATTTGAAAAAGAAATAAATACAGTTGAGGGATACAGCAATCTCACTCAAGTGGCCGGGATTATTTTTTTCCCCTCAGTAAATCTGCTAAAAAAAAAAAAAAATCAGGGAAAGAAGGCAGAAGGCCCTCACCCACGTTTTTGCATGGCTTTCATTTTTTGATCAATCTGAGGCTGTGAGGCTGACAGGAACCTTGCTGAACGTTGAAAGCCTCTGAGCTGCAGAAGCCGAGCACACGTGGGAGTCTCGCCTCACAGTTCTGTCGTGCGTTGGGGGAAGAAAACGTTTCCCGCCCCCACACCCCACCCACCATTTGAGCTATGCTTCCCGCACCACCTCGTGGTCCTGTCTGGTTGACACGTCTGTGGTCGTGTGGTACAACATGCTGGAACACCCTTGGGAATATGTGGAGGCGTGCAGGGCCGGTGTGTGACTCTTTGTCTGCGTGCGCTTCGCCCGCGTGTACCAGCAACACCCCAGGAAGAAGGCGCTGACTAAGCGTCCGCAGACCTGTCCCCACCCGGGGCCAGGTGACACTCCGCTCCTCTCTCCTGTCTGCGCTTCCACACGCTGCTGCCGTCTGACTCCTTCACTGAAGTTTCCCCCTTCAGGTCTCGAACTCTCGAACTCTGCACGCTGCGTACCACGTGGAGGACTGTGCTAAGTCCACGCTTCTAGCCCGTCCCGTTCTCTGCTGTCGAACCCATCGGAGTGGAGAAGTGCCGTGCGTTTGTCTGAGTTCGTGTGCACGGCCTGGCCTCTCGCCTGCTTTGCTGTCTCCTTTTTTTTGCTTTTTTTCTGAGTAAAATCCTTCTTTGGTTTTCTTTTTCATTTTATTTCTCTTTCACGAAGCAACAGCGGACCCATGCAAAACGTGTCTTCGGCTGTTGGACTGATTCGTTCATTCGAGCCCGAATACTCTCTTCCACTGTCTTCTGGGCATTTTCTGGGCGTTTTCATGCGGACATACGGTTGAACTCTGGGAAGGTCACTTGGGAAGCCACTTTCCAGGCTGTGTCCCTCTCGAAGGCCTCGTGTACCTCTTGTGAAAATGTGAAACTGTATTTCTGACCTGAAATAAATGATCTCTGAAGGCCTGAACACACCCTGCCCCCCTCCCCCTCGTTCTTGGAGATGTTTCTCTGTCAGGCCTGAGACCTGGGTGTTTGGACAGCTCTTCCCATCCCATTTGGGGCCTGAGTTGATTCAGTTTATTCTCTGAGGTATCGTATGAGGGAGGGCTGTGGGGGGAGGGGGGTATCTTCCTCCCCTTTCTTTCCTGGTCCTGTGTTTCCAGAGTGAGGATGACACTTTGTTCCAGAAGCTTTGGTGACAGGCCTCTTAAGGATGCCACAAGCATGGGACCAGAATGAGGGAGGGACTTCCCCGTGGTTGACTTTCCCTCTGGGCTCAGGATTCTGGGAAGAGCGAGTCATGGGGAAGCTGCAGGCTGTGGTTGGCGTTGAGTCGCCCTTTCCTGCCGTCATTTCTTCCTCATCTCTGTCACCTTCTG